GGGATAGCAGGGTGATGGGCATTAGGAGGGCACTGATGTGATGAACCCTGGATGTTATAGATAACTGATGAATAACTGAACTCTACATCTAAAACTAATGATGTACTATATGTTGGCCAACGGAATTAAAAAAAAAAAAAGATTCTCCCTTTTCTCTTTGCCCCTCCCTCCCCGCTCTCTTTAAAAAAAAAAAAAATCTGAGAAGCCACAGTGAGAAAATATATACCCATAATTACATCACTTAGAAAAATTACATCACCTGGAAAAAACTATTAACACTTTCATTATACTTTCCTAATCCTTTTTCAATGCTGAATACACACGTAAACACACATACTCACATACACATGTGGAATAATGCTGTATATACTGTTTTGAAACCTGGTTTTCTCTTATCAAAAAAATCATGTAAATATTTCAATGTCATTTAATATTTATTACAGAATTTGATAGCCATATATATATATTTTTTTTTTACATAGAAGAACATATTTTTTTTTTTAACCAGTCACTTGTTGGTTATTAATGCCACAGTGAACTTCCTTGTACATAAATTTTTGATAATAGTCATGAATACTTAGGTCAGTTTCTAAAAGTTAAGTTTCTGGGTTAAAGACTTTACATATATCCAGAAAGATTGAAACTTGTCATAGTCCCACCAACAGAGAACTAAAGGGTCTGTTTTTCCATATCCTCCACAACTGGGAATTATCTTAACAACTGGCAAATGTAAATACACACTCAATGCAGTATATATTTCTGCCAACTTGTAGAGTTGAGTGCCATAGCTTTCATGTTCATAACTGATGAAGTTGAATTTCATACTAGCCATTAGTAACTTTATTTTGATAATATTTGATAATATTTTGAGAGTATAGTGGAATTCTAGATTTCAAAATGCAAGAGTAAGAAGTTATGAGACCTGGATTTTAGTTTTCTTTACACCATTAGCTTTGGAAGACCTTAGGTTAAATCATTCAATCTTTTTGGTCTTAAATTTCCTCTTGTATATAAAATATACTCAAAATGCCCACTCAGATCTTCTTATTGTCCCTGTGAAAAGCAAATTAGATTATTTTCCTGAAAACAGCTACTGTACCACTAATTTATTAACAATATTAATTAGCTCTTTGAAACTCATTTATAATAACAAGACACAAAAAAGAAGATTCTATCACTTAACTTTAAAATGTTTTTAAGGGGCACCTGGGTAGTTCAGTGGGTTAAGCCTCTGCCTTCCGCTTAGGTCATGATCTCAGGGTCCTGGGATTGAGCCCCGCATTGGGCTCTCTGCTCAGCAGGGACCCTCCCCCCCAACCCCCGCCGCCGCCTGACTCTGCCTACTTGTGATATCTGTCAAATAAATAAATAAAATCTTTTTTAACAAGGTTTTAAAATACTTAAACAGGTAATCGACAATTCAGTTCAAAGCAGTCAACTCCATATCAGTATATATGTGTGTGTGTGTGTGTGTGTGTATGTATAGACACATAGGTACATATGGTTTATATATAATTATATAACATATGGTTTATATATAATTATATAACATATAGTTTATATATAAGTTCCACATTTTCTAAATTTTTATGAGAGGTCAACTTACTATTGACACATTGGTATATTTCCTTTCAAGGTGATTTGTGTGTGTGTGTGTGTATGTGTTATAAAAAATAATCAGTGATCATAATTTTGTATCTAGGTCTTTTACCTAGCAGGAGGCCATTTTTCCATTTAATTACAAAATCTTACTAACAATTTTATAAGCTGCCTACTACATCATAGTGGGGATATATTCTTATTTATTTACCGTTTCTCTTCTCTTTCTTAATCACAAGTTATTTTCAATTACTTACTTTACCTGTGCCATTTTTTTGTATAAGTTTTTTCTCCATTTCCGATTGGTCCCTTAGGATAGATTCTTAGGGGAGGAATGGGGGACAAAAGGTGTGACAATCTTAAAACTTTAAATATATATTGTTAATTGTGCTAAAAGGACTTGTGCCAGGTTTTAATTCCTCCTAGGAATATATAATGGGAGGGCTTAATTTGGGGGTATAGTAGTCACTGCTAGACCACATTATTATTATTATTATTACTGTTATTTACTTTTTAAAGTGTAAAAATGATTCATGTTTGTACACACAAAAATAGCTCAAACATTTTCTTTTCCACTTCTCTAACCCCTTACCAAACTTACAGTTTGGCACGTACACTATCAGACTGTGCTTTAATTCAATTAATTTTAATGATATATTTACTTTGATATGTATTGAAAATGTATATATAAAATAGCCCATCAGACCTGTGATATAATGAGTATTATTGCTTTTGATAAAGCTAATTTATTTTTAAAGTTGATTTTAAAATAATATATGTTAAGTAAATAACATGTAAACAAAACAATCTTGAAGTGATCTGAGAACAGTAACTTCAGAAAAATGCCATAGAGGCGTAACTTCTAGAGTTGACTGCCTCTGACCAGCTCTGTGGTCCTGACCAAGTCACGTCCCATCTCTGAGCTTTAATTTCCAGAGCAAGTAGCAGGAATCTGGAAATACTGGTCTTTCTGCTAGAGAGGGATGCTTCAACAAATGGGCAATCTCTCAGCTGAGTCTTTTTCTTCTGAATTTTGGTTAATCTAATCATAGTTGAGCTCAGGTTGCTCTTTCCTAAAAAGATCTCCTCTATTAAGAAATTCATGTATAAATATGAGTTAAGTAGGATATTGACTTTAAAATGAAACCCCAAAATTTTACTTTAACAAAATACCACTTCTCAATAACTTCATAATAGGAGCAGAAATGTTCAAGTTAATTATAGTACCCAAATTGGCTAAATTCCTGTATTGCTTTTGAGAAAGTAAAAAAAAAAACAAAACAAAGTAAAGTTCTATAACCAAGTAATGTGATTTTAAAGCTAGTGGGTCAACAAGTAGATCATGCATTGAGACTCTAACCTATTGTCTCCTATTCCTCTTTGCATCCCTAATATTCAGCTCTAAGTGCGGCACATTGTGGCTACTAAATAGATATTCAACGATTGAATGATATTACATATGAATGTTCCATATGTGGTAACCAGTTTGATAGAACTGTAAATTTAACTTGTACTAAGGGAGAAAGACTTTTTTTTTTTTTTTTAATTTTAGAACATTGCTATTGAACTATCCTCTCTGGTATCCAAAGGTATATATATACAAAGATTCATATGAAGTAAATTTAATATAAGTCATTGCAATTGCCCTTCCTTTGAGAGCTGTTCAGAATCACAAATTATCCACCTTTGTCTTCTTTTCATCACTCCTCCCTAGGCATGGACACTAGTCAACTAGTTATACATATTTGGATATGGGTTTATGAGAATATATTGATTTTTCTGTTAGGGCTCAGAAGGAAAGTGTTAGTGACTTAACTTTGTGGATATTTGGTGGATCCATAGTTACTGAATTTGAAATTAAAAAAAAAAAACCTTTTTAAAGACTGAGTAATTTCCAACGACAATAAAAGATCTTGAGGATTTAGAATAACCCTTTGAAAATCAGAAACTCAAATAGTAAAAGACTACATTGAACTGTACTGAAAAGAAGTTTTGCATAGGTGGGAAAATAGCACCAAGTTCAAGAGGTCTGTCACAATATGGTCAAATGTTTAAAGATGGAATAATTGAGACTTCTGAAAAAGCCATATTCAATTCATTTGCTCTTTGTTTTGTTAAAATCATCAGCATGAACAGTTTTCCAGCTGGAAATTTAGAAAGTGGGGTTATAAACTGGAATTTTGGGTTGGCTTTTTTTTTTTTTTTGGTATAGTTTTTGTAAGGAGGACTTTTCTTTTTTATATGATATAATGTAAATATTGTAACAATGACAGAACAAGAACAGGAGTGAATAGCTCTTGTTTCAGTTGAAATTCTGTCTTTTTAATGTAGCCTCTGGACCAGCTCTTCTTTCCATAATTCCTTCCTGCAGGTGACAGAGGCCCTTTTCCTCCCAGAAAACACTTCTTTGAGAGATCTGGGTGCCTTCCTTTCATAAACCTTTAAAAGCCAAAATGATTTATAGGCTACCCCTATCCTTCTAGAGGTGGGCACCTAAGTAGATCATATTTGCATGGGTCACTCTGATTGTAGGACTCCACTGATTCTTGAACTAAAACTGCAAGATTTATTATTCTGTTAATGCTCATAAAGTCACTCTTTTGATGAGCCATAATTTCCCTTTATGAGGAGCCTGCATGCCGGTCACTCATGATAAGGGAGAAGAAAGTCCAGACTTCCAACACGTTCATATTTCCTCATGAACATTAATAAGGTCTTGAAATCCCATATGACTCCAGGACATAATGGCATGGGATACAGCAACAAAAGGTAAATTTCACGCAGTCAACATGTCCCCATAAGACTTCCCTTACATTGTTGGTTGTGTACAAAAACTAAGCTTTTCCATTTTTTAATGCAAAAAATTTAGAAATTAACCTTCCTGATGGAGAAGATACCCTACCAGGTAGGCTTGTGTTATCCTTGTGAATTTTCTTAAGGAATGACCTAGCAGGAGGTGCGAACTTTCTCCTGTTATCTTAATTGTCCGCTAATGGCAAAGCATAATTACAGTTACTTAAGTGCCAACTTTATCGAGGTTTTCACTAAAACCTTCAGCCACAGCGCTTTCCTTGACTGACCCAGCTTTTATCTATCCACTTGCTTTACTATCATTTGAATGAAAACGGCCCCCAATAAAAACAAGCAAACAAAAAGCCTAATCCCCAACCATGTTGAGTATCTTCTGTTGTTTTAGTTGGAGAGTTAAGGCAGTTGTGACCTCAAAGAAGTCGACGAAATTGTGTATGGCATCATTAATTGAAAATGTAGCCTTCCCACATTCAAAAAAGCAGGGTTTTGCGGGAGTTCTGCAATAGTTCGCTTCACGGCTCGGGGAAGTCAATTCGCTGCTAAACCAGAAGATGGTCTTCTAAAGACTGTCCTGTATTTGGAATGGAAACTTAGCCATTGTACCTTTCCCCCAGTGCACCCACATGAGAAGCCCGAAAGCCACCCATCGGTCTCTGGAGCTCCTCGCTGCCTTTGTCCCTTCTAGACGTGGAGGCTTGGAGAGGAGGTTTAGTTTCCAAGGATTGGAGCGTTTGAAGGGCGGGGCCATCTCCAAGTCCATCTCCCCTTTTTGTCCTCTTCTCCTGGGACGGGAGGGAGGAGCCAGGTCCCCCCGCGGCCGGTTCGGGAGCTCTCTGTCTCGGTCGCTGGAGGTGAGTCTGAAAGGGCGGCAGCCCGTTTAATTGTAGCGCAGGTTAATTTCTCGAGTTCACCGCAGTCGGTCGGCCCGCCGCTTCCCGGGTCCTTGCCAACTGGGTTTATGAGGTCTGAGGCGTGTTGGGGCGCGCTCGCATTCTCGCAAAAGGCTCCTCCCCAGGGCTCATTCCCCGACTGCGGGCAGCCCTTTGGTGCCCCAGGAGCCTTGGGTTTCCTCTGACCTCGGCGCTTCCTCTTCCCTCCCCACCGCCTGGTTCCGTGCGACCCTGCCCCCGGGGAAGGGCGGCCCCCATCTTAGGACTTCCGACCCAAGCCAACCCAGAAAGGTACCTTCACGTCGAGGAAGATTTTTATCACAGCCTCCAAAACCCAGCGGTAATAGGGGCTTTCAACCTGAAATACGATTGTTATTTTCCCGGTGCAGGGCTTGACAGAGAAAGTCAGCTTTTTATTAAAGACAAAGAGGTAAATTATCAGCTGGGGCACTGAAGGGACGGCGGAGACCTGGCGCGCTTCCTCTCGTTGCCACGAGGAATTTGTGGGGGAGCGGCAGCCGCCGCTCAGACACCCCTGGGGTCCCGGGGGAGGAGCTCGGGGCAGAAGGACTTCCCCGGGTCCCTCCGGGCACCTGGAAGGGAGAGTCCTGCCAGTTCTGCACAAAGCCAGGGGCATTTCAGTTCTGAGCAGCCTTACCGTCCTCCTCTCTCCTTTCTTCTTTCTCTTCTCTTTCTTTGACTCGCGTCTCCCTTTCGCCTCTGTGCTTTCTCCTCCTTGTTCTCCTCTCCCTACTTTTTCTCTTCCCTCTCCTCGTCCTCCCCCTCCTTTCTTTTCCACCGCACGCGTAGAGTGTCATTTATTTATTTATTTATCACCCCCGCCATCAACACCCTTTTAGGGCTCCCAAGCTTTTCAGTGTGAGTGGGAGGAGAAAAGGGCAGGAAGTGTTGACTGCGAGGGGATGAAATCGTGCCTCTGGGTGAGAGATTCTGCCCCGAAATAAACGATTGGGAAAAAATCTTGGAAAATGAGGAGTCGGATCTGTTTATGAAAGCCCGCTATCCGATGGGAACCAACTCCGCGCGCGTCTCCTCCTCCCCTTTATTGTATGGGTTTATGGGTATATCTTCCCGGACTGTTGTTTGGGGTGTGTGTGGCGGCGGGGGGGGGGGGGGGGGGGCGGAGGAGGAGTGAGTATTAAAGAGGACAATCTGGCCCAGGATCTTCAACACCGCGCCTTCTCCACCGGATGCGCGCTCCCCAATGCAAAGGAATCCAACATCCCCCAATTCAGACGCGGACAAAAGAAACTTTAATTAAGGTCTCTGCCCCGCGCGCTGTGTGTTTCTCTCTCCCGATGCTGGTGATGTCCAACTCGAGGATGCGAGAAATAGAAATGGTACAACCAGCCCGTGCCCTTGAACTTCAATTGCTCCTGACTTGCTGTATTGATTTTTTTTTTTTTTAAATAGTGTAGGCACCCCTCCCAAATCAAATTAAAGCCTTAGGAGACGTTCGACCTGGTGAGGGGTGAGGGGGAACCCATTCCTTTGCAAAAGAGAGAGTTCAGAACGATTTGGGGGAAAATAACACTAAATAAAATTCAAGGTGTGAAAGCCTCATCTTGGTTCTCATGTCTTCAACACCATGACACCTTATCATTAGAAGCGCTGATTGTTACTTTCCGAGCCTTTAGATGATCAGCCAGAAAGTGCAAACAACGCGGGGCTGGAGGGTGTAAAGTTATTTAAGTAGATTTTTTTTTTCCTTTTGGTGCGCCGTCAAAACATTTCACAAGTTAGGAAAATAAAGTGGTGGTTCCGAAGCTCAGAATGATGGGTTCCTTCCCTCCCCCATCCCCCCTCTCCATATCAGTAGAGAAATAAAATGCACAATGAGCCTTTATTTCGGGGGAGAAGACTTCAAAATACGTGCCAGTAATGGACAATTTGAGCTTTTCACTGGAGATACTCACACCGCAAGCTGGAAAGGGATTAAAAAGCCCCACGTGGTTGATCTGGGTTTAGACTTGCAACCTCTAGTTCCCCATGTATGTTCTTTGCAAAGATTGGCCTCTAGATGGATGCGTGTGAGGGACTCTCTGGGGCCGGGGCTCGGCGCCTGGGGCTGGGCTGATGTTGGGAGAGCTATGAGCGGCCGGGCAGGGTCCTCACTGGGGGCTTCCTCTGCCGGCCAGGGCGGCCGGGCGCCTCCGGGACGCGAGAGCGCACGCCTCAGCCCGGCCGCCGCGCTCCTCGCACCGCCTTCTCCGCAGGTCTTTATTCATCTCATCTCCCTCTTCCCCTTCTCCTCCTCCTTTGCCTCCTTCTCCTCCTCTTCCTCCTCCTCCTCCACCACCACCACCTCCTCCGCCGCCGCCGCCACCTCCTCCTCTTGCATCTCACTGGCCTGGCTCTGTGTTGCTCTGAGTGACAAAGACAATGTCCCAGTCTTAACTTTGCAACCACCTTGCCTCCTTCTGGGGTTCAGCGGGGGGGAGGGGGGACAGCAGCCGCAGCCTCAGCATCTCCTCCAGCTTCTTCTGTTCTTCTCCAGCTCTTGGATAATTCTTCCTTTTTTTTCCCCCCAGCCCTTTTCTCATTTCTTTCTTTCTTTCTTTTTTCTTCCTGTCTCCTGCACGTTGTTGTTGTTATTAGAAAGGCTTCGCGCACCCCCTGGTGCTCCGGCGTTTTGTGTGGCAGGAGAAGATTGTCTTCCTTCTCTCTTTCTGTCTTGCTTTCTCTCTCCCTCTGGTTGCTCATTATTCAGAGAGAGACACAGAGGGAGGGAGAGAGAGAGCGCGCGAGGGAGAGGGAGGAGAGGAGAGAGAAGAGGAGAGAGAGGGGAGAGAGAGAGAGTGAGAGGGAGAGGGAGGGAGGGAGAGGGAGAGGGAGAGAGAGAGACGGATATCTCAGGTCATCTGCAGCTGCAGCGAGTCTGAGGAGCCGAGGAAGGCAGGGAAGATGGCGATCCTCCATTGCTGAGACCCGGCAGAAGCACATGAGACTCCCAAACAACTTCCACAACAATAACCCGAGCAGGAAGAGGAGAAAGAGAAAGAGGATAAGGAGGCGGTGGGGCTGGAGAACCCGAAACACCTCCAGGCGCCGGGACGCTTCTTCTGTAAGTTACTGCAATTAACAACCACCTCGGGGTGGTCCGAGTGCTCCGGGGAGGAGAGCGCCGGGCGGTGGAGGCACAAACGCGCTCATTCATTCGGCCAAGGAGGGTTGGTGGAGCGGGGAGGAGAGGAAGTCCCCCGCATGGACTGGCTGTTGGGAGAGGAGAAGAAGCGAGAGAGAAGAGGAGGAGGAGGAGGAGGAGGAGGTGGAGGAGGAGGAGGGGGAGGAGGGAGAGCAGGAGGGGGAGGAGGAAGAGGAGGAGGAGAAGCGAGGGAGGAAGAGGAGGAGGAGAAGGTGGTGGTGGTGGTGGTGGCAGTGGAGGTGGCTGTGCTTTTCCTGCTGGCTGCTCCTTCTGGGGGGAGCGGAGCGCTGTGGCTTAATTAATTTCGTGTAGTTCTGTGGAGAGAAGAGAAAATGAAAGATGAGTGAGGAGAGAGCTGGAGCCCTAGGACGGATGCTCCGAGTGTGGGGATAGGAGTAGGGACAGAGAGGGGGGCGGAGGGCGGGAGGCGAGGGGACCTGAGCCGAGAGCCAGAGGGAGCGAGCGAGGGGCAGAGAAGGGAGCGCTCCGAGCCGCCCCGACCCGAGCGGGTTGACCTCTTTCTTTCTCTGTCCCTCTCCTTCCTTTCCCCCTCTCTGTCTGCCTGTCCCCAGCCCGATGGCAAAGCCGTGCGGATTGGCACCCCCCTCTTCCTCAGGTATTTGGCTCTCTCTCTCTCTCTCTCTCTCCCCGAAGTTGGGATGCGGGGTCGGGATGTGTCGGGGGGGTGGCTGCTGCCGCTGCTGGTGCTGCTGGTGCTGCTGGTGAGGAGAGAGGCGAGGAGCGGGGGGCACGGGCCGCGTGGGGGGGCGCAGGTTCAGGAGCTGCTGAGGAGCTGTCTCCAGGCTGGGGGTTCAGAAGCGTCTGGTGGAGGAGGACAACGGTTTCTGGAGAGGAGAAGCCATTACACACGCTTGGCTCTCTGAGGAAGGGAGAAAAGAAGGCAGGGGCCTGGGGGTCGTCTCACTCCTGGTGCAGTTCCCAGGGGTCTGCCCTCCTTCCAGGCACGAGGGGAAGCCGCAGCCGCCCCCCATTGGAGCAGCCCCTCTCTTTCCCTTTCTTTATCTCCCTGTCCTCCATTTGCAAGCTGTCTGCTTTGGTTCCAGTCCAGACTCCAAAACACAAAGCTCCTTCTCACGTTCATTCTCCAGGCTTTTCACCATTCCTGAAGGAACCCTCATTTTCTTTTCATTGTAGCTTCTAACCTACAGAGAGGGAGGGAGGCTGCCTGGAGTTCCTTTTATATTTCTCCTCTACCCAAAGGGGAAAAAAAAAAGTTTTATTTTTCAGCACGCGTCTGGGATGGGAAAAGACCAACCAGTTGGGGCTTTTCTCCCAGAGCTCCCGGGGGTTGTGTCTGAGTGTCTGTGTTGGTTGTTTGGTTTGCTTTGGTTTTGTTTCTGGAGGTGGCTTGCAGGTTTTTGGAGGAAGTGACTAGTTTGGTTGGGAGCTGGGAACTGAGTCAGGTAAGCCGTGTGATGTTGTAACTCCACCAGAAAATGGAGGAGAGCGGGTTTCCAGGAGACAAAGCTGAGATGAGAAGTGTTTATAAAATTATGGATGTCTCCATTTTGAAGCTCTGTTGGTGATGGCTGGAGGAGGTTTGCCTGCCTACTCCTTCTTCTTTTCCAGGGTGAAATCTTGTGGTGGTTCCTCACCATCTATTCATTATGCAAGGAAATGAGGGAGTTGTAAGGGCTGCTCAGGTTTTTCTCCCACCAAAGGAGTGTTTTCACAAGTTATTGAGGCATTTGTTTCCATTTTAAAGTAAACTTTTGAAATTTTTTTTCTTCTTTTGAGTGGACCTGAAGGGTTTTGACCTCCTTCAGGAAAGGCAAGGCAAAACCTTAAACGTTTTCCACAGAGGTCTTCACCCAACTTTTAAGCTCCTCCAGGTCTCCTAAAAAGTCACCAGGAATTGTTATTTCCTCATTGTGAAGATGGTGGTGGCCCTAAAGCTGAGATTTTGGAGTTCTGGGGCTTGGTTTTCGTCATGATTTGATGCATGGCAAGACTTTATTGTCTGGTTTGGGCTGATTTCTGCAAAAAAGGACAAGAACAACAACAACAAATCCTGCAAGATCTCAGAGGAACCCTAAGACTGACTGACCCCAGTTTCTCCAGAGTCCACATTTCTCTTCAGGTTGTTCCATTTGTGTTTAAGGCCTTCTTTTAGTTCCTTTGTTTTCCCCCTTCCCTTTCATTCTGCTCTTTTTCTCTGTGTTCTCAAGTACTGTAAGTCTTCAGAAATATCAGATGTCTTCTTAACAATGTCACTATGGAAACAAATTTTTAAAAGATTATGTCTGTGGAGAAAACCTTATGTCCAGGTATCTTCACCTTTTTAATTGGGAAGAATTTAGTAGTCCTGAGGAAGACATTTTGTGAGGATTATTTGAAGGAAGGACCCAGCACTACCCCAGTCCACACACATTGATTGGAGTTCTTCAGATTAGTTCTAGAGAATGTATGTAATTGATCCAAGTAAAGAACAAAATCCTGAAATGCTTGAGGAATTTATAAAAGCCAACCATGAAGATGTTGCTTTACCATTAGGTAAGGTAGCCATCTTGAGGGTGAGGGAAGATGTTGGAAGTATTTTAGGAGGACTACTGGTAAGATAGGTGAGGAAGCCTCCACAGTGGAATGAAAACTTGGAGGAGATTCAGAACCAATTAATATATTGTAAGGAGGCTGACTGGACCTTGTTTTCAACTAAGGAGAGACATAGAAAGGTACCAGCTTCAACAGAAATAAGGGACACATTGGTGAGCGACTTATACCAGCTTTTTTCTTGCTCTGCTTTCTCATTATGTGTTAGATGTGTGCGTGTGTGTGTGTGTGTGTGTGTGTAAGGTTCCTATGTCTACAATATTATTGTGCATATTGAAGTGGTTTTAGATTCCAGATGTAATTATATTCTGTTGAGTAGCTGGTCGCAGTGTCATTCAGTAAATGCACAAGGCTGTATATGACAACATCACATTTTTCAAACCAAACTGTTGTGTCATTAATTGAGGGTTATTGTTCTTCTGAGGAGTGTGAAAGGCAAGGAGAAATACATGGTTCTTTAGCTGATAATTGTCCATGGTCAATGAAGTAAAACCCTGTTTTTGCAGACGAAGATGTATGGTTTTCAAGATTTTCAGCTGATGTGTGTGCTCATTTAAAAATACTTCTCTTTAGATCTCTGCTTCTTTATTAAAAAGCTGGGCTTCTCCAAGAGCACTTGAAAAATCTTACTTCTTGGAATCATACCTTTTATTATTCAGTTTTGAATGTTACCTTTTGATACCATTACTTTTGCTCAGAAAGTGGAATGTTGTCAGTGTTAATACTTAAATAAGATTTGCTAATGCATGTATGGATGTTACTTGTTCAAACTCGGAAGTTCAGATGCAATGGAATAAAAAGAGTTATTTGGGAAAGTAATTACCAGATAATTTTGCATCTAATTAGCCATATTTATGTATGTAAACACAGATACATTATAGGTTGATCTTGAAACAAACTTCCATTATATCTTTGTTGTTGTTGTTGTTGATACCAGGACAACCGGTTAATTACTTATTTCAGTGGGAAAAAAAAAATCTGACAAACTGGTTGCTGGTCCAGTGTTTGACTCACCACATCTTTTACTTTGTGACCAAATGTTTTGGTGTCTTTATAGACAGTCTTAGAGTTTAGCTTTCCTAGAGGGAAAAAATTAGTTACCTAAGCGGCATTTTGGAGTTTGAGAATATGTTCTACCTGGTTACCTAAGAGATGTTCATCTCTGATGCCCTTCATCCACATGGGAAGCACTTAATGTTAAAGATGGGGATTCTTGCATTTTTCCAAACGTACACATTAGAAATGGGACACGTATTTTGGATAGTGTGCTATGAGCGAAACACAGAGTGTCAAATTGAACATTTTCATTTGATGTCAAGGCTCAGAGATTTTGTTTTGTTTTGTTTTCAAGACATCAGGTTGATGAGGCTCGTTATGCAAATTTTTTCCTTAGCTCTAATATATCACAAAGAGAAATCATTCTAGAGAAATATATGTGAGCTATGAGGCACGTTGCCGTAGAAAAGATTCTTGTTGGATCTTTGTATCCCATATTTCTCATATGAGATTTATGTCCATCTAATTTATTGACCACATTCCCTGAGGACTTGTTTTTTTTTTTTCCATACTCCTTGGAATTGGAAACAACTTTTAGATACTTTTAGATAGAAAGAAAAAGATCTATATGTACACACATGTATACACACACATGTGTGTGTCTGTGTGTGTGTTCTTTCTAATGAGTCTTTTGGAAGATAGTAGGAGAAAAGAAATCCAACTCCACTAATGGACTTTAGAGTATTTGTGGTCAGTTTTCCTGAAAGAAAAGAATGGTAAAATTGCCTCGGGAAGAGTTCCGCTTTCTGTATCATGTACTTTAATAGGGTCTAGTCTGTCTTGAGTTCTTGTGTCTTGAGAACTTGTGTTGCAAGTTCTTGGTTAAGGTAACCTTACTCATCTTCTTTGTGCTGTATGCCTTTATCAGACTTAGTGCTCACGGCCTCATGGGACAGAGCATTGACAAAGCTGTATTGAATGTTTCAAGTTGAAAACTGGAGAACAGGGGTGCTGTTGCACAATGCCACACTCACAAATTAAGAAATAACATAAATAATGAACTCAGATTGCAAAGGATAGGACATGAATATATGATTGGCTGATTGGTATGTGGAAATGAAGGACATTCAAAAGAAGTGTAGGAAAATATTTCCAGGGTCTATCATTACAATCCAGCAAACTGGGGAAAAAAAAGTCAGCCTCTGTGTGTTGGGGGAGACAGGGGCTGGACAAGTATCTTCTGAGGTTCACATAGTTATGAAGTTGGTGGCTTTGAGAGAAACATTAGCTGGGTGTTGGTGACCTATTAATTGATTATGAGAAAATAGGAGAGTAGATAATGCTAGAAGAAAATTCCTCTTGTGTGATATGCCAAGACATCTGGCAGATGTTATGTTGGGCCCTAAGGAATGGACAGTTTAATTTTAGCCCTAGCAAGGAAATGGGAAGTTCTGAGCTCTTTTAATAGCACAAGCCTTAGTTTGGGGAAGGTTGCTTATAAAAAATAAGAAAGGAAAAGAAAAGAGGCATTTATTGTAATATTGAAGAACTCCAGGGAGCACCCAGATTAAGCTGAAGTTTTGGGGTGAGGGACAAAGATGTTACTTCCTTAAGTAGAAATGAATATAAAAATCACTAAAAAGTTGACTAATATGTACACCGTAAATGGTGACTCCGAAGAACTTGTAATTGGGAAGCTAGTCGTTTTGTGCCTTGGAGAGATCATCTGCTTCAGATCTCCCCTTCCCCTGGCGTTTTATTGAAGAGGAAACTGGCAAGGAGACAGGCAGTGACTTGCCCAAGGTCAGAAGGTTCAGTTGTAACAAAGCCAGGCCTAGCACTCAGGTCGGCTGACTCCCAACCCAGTGCCCTTTCCACCACCCCAGTGCCTCTGATTGTAGCGGTTTGTGAAACACCAGCTCTCCTCTCCAGAGTCCAAGCCTCTCTGAGAAACTCTGTAATCAAACACCAGTGGGGCAGGAGTATTGGTTTTTGTTAGTTGAATTTACCATGTTGGGGCTGAGCATGGTTTCATTCACAGAAGTGATA